ACTTATTTCTTAAACTACTCTTTTCTTTAATTTCGCACAAATTCCAAAAATCTGCTAGGAGGATCTGATCAATTTAATTTATATTTGTAAGTCATTAGGTTTTTTTAAAGGCATGAAAAATGAGCAATGCCCTTTGCCGGGGTTCGAACCTGGATCTCTTGAATACGCGCCAAGTGTGCTACCGTTGCACCTCGAAGGCATGCAGAAAGGATAGAGAAAATGCCTTATATACTGCCTGTTTTAAAGTGCGACTAGGGATAATCCTAGTGGTGAAGAATCATCATGCACCAAATTTTAGACTGGGCTCCACTGTAAAGTCATTAGGTTATTCTGAAGCAAAAGACATGAAAAATGAGCAATGCCCTCACCGGAACTCGAACCTGGACATCTCGAATACGCGCCGAGTGTGCTACCGTTACACCACGAAGGCATGTACAAAGGAGGTAGAAAATACCTTATATACTCAATTATTTTCCTTTTTTGCATTGGGCGTGGCCTATTTAGTACTGATTTAGCACCTGTACAATACGACCACAGTTATGCACATCAAAAATGGCATAACTGGAACTGGTGAAATCGTGTATTTAAATTACAAGTTTGTGATAAGTAGGTTCAAGAAGGGCAAGGCCAACTTATGTCATCACCTCAAGTTTGTGAATGATATTATTATTGGTATGGCATTTTTTCCTTTTTAATTTTAATAAATATTTACCTTTTTATGTAAATTTTAGGGAAGAGGTACCTGTATTTATGTGATCAATTGTATGTTTGAATCTCTCCCTAGTGATCAACACTGGTAGTTCGGTCCGAGGTTCGAATCCCGCGAACGGGCTGGCTGCATGGGTGTTTTCGTCGTTTTCCCCATGTGTAACGTGTATACGAGCCAGTTTCCCTTAGAATGTCCTCCACGAAGGCATCCCTCCCCTTAGGCAGATAGCCCTAGTGTGCTTTGCCATAATTAAATACACCACACCTAGTGATCAGTATTAAGTGCTTAATTATTTTTTTTATAAATTATGTGCATGTTCTCCAAAGGTCATAAAAGTAACTATGGAATTAATGTAGGTAATGTTTTCTTTGTAATTATGTATCTGCATTATGTATTCAAGCATTTGGAATCAGATATCAGTTTTACTGAGTATGGTTCTGCACTTTTCTGTTTATGTTCACTTTAAAGTACTCAAGTCTGTATTTATTACCTCTCTGCATGTACTATGAAGGCCAGTTCGTACTTGGCTAGGATTTAGTCTACATAGCATTAATTAATGATCAGTTTTATGTATTATGTTTATCAGTTTTAGTTTTCATGTATTACGTATCCATTTTTAAGTGTTATGTATGCAGGTATTAGAGATCATCTTTCTGTATTTCAGTACTCAGTATCATGTTAGTTTTTCACTTTTAATATTCAGTTTTGCACATATGTATGTATTATTCTGTCTGTAAGTACTACGAAAGAAAATGTAGCTGCAGGGTTCAATTTGCGAAACAACTCCAGTTTAAGTTTGCGCAAAGAACTAATTATGCAGGAATTTGTTATCTTAGTGATAACAGGTACACAATCTTTTAAATGTTCTTACATAAGAGTCAGGCACATGGAAGGTAATCTGCGTTAAATTACGTTTGGGCGCTAGGAATTTTTTTAATCATTTTTTTATCTTTTTAAGTTTACTGTGTGCAATAATTTAATAGGTTACATCTTTCCTTCATGTAGGACCAACAACAAAAGCCCCATAAATATATGACAGTTGTGTCAGGATTAGCATCCGCATGCAGACATTTAGCAAGTCCAGAAAATGCACGGCAGTTAATTTTTCAAGCAGAGTCCTCCTTTCTTTACTTTATCTAACACAAATTTCTGTCTATTCTAACGCGATTCTTAACAGTCTTTTGGTTGCTTCTTTGCTTAATTTTAAGTAGTTCCTAACAGGATACTCTTTCCCCGAACAAAAACTTCCAAGCTTACATGTAGACTTTATGAGGCTCTTAGCCGTCTATTCGGCTGCGTTCCCAGAGGTGTAATGGCAAACCGGACATTGAGTTGACCAACGTTAAACGAATTTCGCTTACTGCGCATGCCCAAAAGACAATTTGGTTCATTTACGACTTCGGCGCAATTTTAAAAAGAAGATAAATACGGTATATGGTTGATATTGTGTTATCTTGGGCGTAACCAGTTCGAGGTTTTAAAACGTGTCAGGTTGTAAGCTGCTTCCTTACTTCGAGTGTAAATGTTGATTGTAAACTACCCAAATTTTCTTTTAAAAAGGATTACAAAACAAGAAACATTACAAGATATATTAGCTGATTATATTTCTGAGGAATAAAAATAATTGAGTATTTACCATACGTTCCATTCATGTATACTTTAACAAATTAAGCACTAAATCTAGTTTAAATTACTGAATTAAGGGGACTCATACACCTTAAAACCCATAAGATGTTCGAAGAGGTGACTATTGCAAGAATTGGGATAACTTATTTATTTTAAAAGCAATTACTACCAACATTTTACAGCTGACTACATAATATAGCTGCTTTCTGAAATAGTCAACAGAAAGTTTGTGTTGCCACAAATATTTTATAATTAATCCGCTTTGTGACAACCTTTTTCGTCATTTTCCAACTTACGCGCGCACAGTTTAAAACATTCTGTTGCATAATTTAATTCTATTTAATATATAGCTTATATACCATTTGGAAACTACTGTGAACCAAAAATTCTAAGGATTTCATGTTAAATTTTTATTTTATTTGGAGTTGAATTTATAAATAGTATTTTATTAAAAAAATCTATAATTTTTTCGTGCATAAAATTTTTAAATTTTAAAATATTCATCAGATTTTTGGTTTAGTTAGATAATAGTGCCCACATAATAGAATTCCATCCAATTTCAAGTATGTACCATTAGCCATTTTTAAAATATCATGCGCGCAATGTGGAAAAATGACGAAAACATTTTTCACAAAGCTGATTAAATTACAAAAATATTTGTGGCAACACAAACTTTCTGGCTACTAGTTTCCAAAGCAGCTATATTATGGAGTCAGTTGTTAAAAGGTGGAAGTAATTGCTTTTAAAATAAATAAAATGTCCCAATTCTTGCAACAGTCACATATTCGAAGATCATGAGAGGTTTAAGGTGTATGAGTCCCCTTAAAGGTCAAATAAATTACTGTAAGTAAAGTGAAATAGACTGTTGCTATTGTAAACAATCGATAAGACCTACATGACGAACAGGCTTGTGTAGGGTTGCTTATGCTTAGTCGCCAGTATTTTCTCCCACGCCAGAGGTACACCATTGAGCATGCGCAGTAAGCGAAATTCGTTAACATTGATCAACTCAATGTGCGGTTTGCCATTAAGCGCTCAGGAGCAGGGTAGAGCAGAGAGTAGATGGTTTCTGCCAGGAAGATAACACACTGTGAGGCTAAGGATAATGCGCTCACTGACTCTACTGTATGTATGAGCTCTGACTCAATCCGTGAACTTTTCATGAACTGTCAATGAACTGTGAACCATCTATGAACTGCCACACTGTCCCAAAAACATTATTACATTAATATCATTATAACTTAACCAAGATAATAATGTTTAATGTTTTTTCATTCAATTCTGTTTGTTTATTTGTGTACATATTATATTTATATTTCACCATCAACTGTAATGTATTCTAATGTCATTGTCATCAGCAACCGTGTCTCCCAGCCATGCTCTGTACCACAAGTTCTCTATGTCCTAATATTAACTTTTCAATTAACACCGATGCGTGGAAGTACGCCCTGTGAACGTGTTCTTAGTGTGAAGGAGCGACACCAGTTCTGATAATGACGATGTGTTGGTGCTTCCCACAATTAGTCCTGTCCTGTCCTGGGCGTGGCCTACTATGCCAATGAGACAAGCTTGTTTGGTTAGTTGGGTCGGGCTGCGCAAACTACTGTTACTACTCCCACTTTTAAGAGGACTCATACACCTTAAACCCCTCATAATTTTCGAATATGTGACTGTTGCAAGAATTGGGATATTTTATTTATTTTAAAAGAAATTACTTCCAACTTTTTATAGCTGACTACATAATATAGCTGCTTTGGAAACCAGTAACCATAAAGTTTGTGTTGTCACAAATATTTTTGTAATTTAATTCTCTTTGTGACAAAATATTTCGCCATGTTTCCACCTTGCGCGCATGATATTTTAAAAATGGCTAATGGTACATACTTGAAATTGGATGGGATTCTTTATATGGACACTATTTGCTTACTGAACGAAAAATCTGATGAATATGTTAATATTAAAAAGTTTTATGCACGAAAACATTCCAGATTTTGTTACTAAAATACATTTTACAAACTCAACTCCAAATAAAATAAAAATTTAACACGACATTCTTAGGATTTTTTGTTTACAGTAGTTTCCAAATGTTACAAAAGCTATATATTAAATATAGAATTAAATTGTGCAATAGAATGTTTTAAACTGTGTGCGCAAAGTGGAGACATGACGAAACATTTTGTCACAAGCGGATTAAATTATAAAAATATTTGTTGCAACACAAACTTTATGATCACTATTTCAGAAAGCAGCTATATTATGTAGTCAGCTGTAAAACGTTGGTAGTAATTGCTTTTAAAATAAGTAAGTTATCCCAATTCTTGCAACAGTCACCTATTCGAAATCTTATGGATTTTAAGGTGTATGAGTCCCCTTAAAGGGGAATTAGGGGATCCAATCACCCAATCCTGGTGGTGAAGAATCATCATCCACCACCTATTAGTTCGGGCGCCACTGTTAGGTTATTTTGAAGCAAAAGACATGAAAAATGAGCAATGCTCTCTCTCCGGGACGAAACTGGACCTCTCGAATACGCGTCGAGTGTGCTAATCGTCACACCACGAAGGCATGCAGAAAGGAGAGAGGAAATATCTTATCACTTGATTAAAATGAAAGAAGGGTTTTATTTTATTTCATAATAGTGTTTGCTTAAATGAAATAATGTTACCTCTGTTGGCAGGCTTGGTTCCCATCAAATTCTTAATTGAGTAAAGGAGGTAGACTCCAGGTGTGCAATTCAGGACGCAAACTTCGACAGCTCAAAGTCGAACTATTCTTTGATGCTGAAATAAATAAATAAATTAAATAAATAAATAAATTAAATAAATAAATAAATAAATAAATAAAGCACACGAATTTACTTTTAAGTCCTCCAAACTTTAATTGCGTTCTATTTCTTTACTTACAAATTGATCGTTCCAACATTCCCGAGACAATAATGATTTTCAGGACGAACATTTGCAGACATTGCGCCGCAAACCTTATTTATGTGGAACTCTGTGAACGACACGAAGCAGTCCATAATAAGGGGTTTCGCTTGTCTTCTTCACTTTGGTTTTTCCATCTCCAATATCAAAATGACCGAAAATGTCAAAAATATTCTAATTATGGAAATACCAAGATAAAAACGTGAAAACGAGTTTAAAAAATTCGTTAGTGACCTCTTAGAAAGGTTTAGTGGCACTTCCGCATTCCGGGTACATTGAAATCCCATTTCCGCGCAAAGAAATACTCATTAACGACTCGGTAATTATCAGTTTGTATAATTTAGTGGAACTTACCGCTAACCTTTCCTCATTGATTGCTCAATCAATATACTTCGATAATTAATTTGACTTTGACAATTAATATTTCTTTTGCAAAATTTCAAGCTGTCGGAATGTATATATATAATTACTTATAATAAAATAAATTTTTTCTTCATTGTACGAAGTAAAAGAAAACTTGTAATCGCCTAATATGTCGGCTACCATATTTCAAGGAAAATATCTATTTTGACCGTTTTCGAATGAAATTTAACTATGAGTGACATCCGTCCTTACGGAATAATAAAGGTCTCTTTTACCAAAACGTATTGAAAAATGCGTTTAAAATGGATTCAAAAGAGATTTTTCGTGACGTTCTATATAAGTACGTACATAATGTATGTATCTGGCATACGAGTAGCCTCACAACGTTGAAATTTTGTATGTTGGTCTGCTATATCATGTTTGGTTATAATCAGCCGCATCAAAGATGTGTGTGTGTATATATATACATGTGATGTATCAGCTTTTGTCCAGAATAAATAGATCGTTGAAGAAATACAGATGTAGTCATAGCTTAAATATAGATGTAGTCATAGCTTGATTTTTAAACTTATCAGACGATAAGTTTAAAAACAGGGTCTATTTATTATTATTCAGGAGAAATAGCAGTTACAAAATCAGATATCCGGAGTAAATAAAAAGAATTACTAATAACTTTTTGTATGAAGTTTACTACATCGCTGCATTAAAGAAAAAGCCCCGATATTCCTTTGCGAGTCCTTTTATAGCCTCTGGAAAGGCGGAGCTTCCAAAAATGACGTCACCTCGTCAGCCAATTCAGTTCGCTTTAAAATTTTCCAGAACATTTATAACTTCCGTATAAAAAGCGGGAAAACAACGTGACTACGGGGCTGTGGATTTAATTCCACGTACTTTCAAATAAGAGAACGTCGCCATTAAAAATGAAAAGAACATACAGTTAGAAATGTAAGTGTATTCTTGACTATGGAATTTTATTATTACAGATATATATATATATACACACACACAAATCTTATCACATATATACATATAATTTATATATATATGTGATGTACCAGCTTTTGTCCGGAATAAATGGAATGCTGAAGAATCATAAATGTAGTCGTAGCTTAAATAATCAGACGATAAGTTTAAAAAACAGGATAAATTATTTATTATTCAGAGAAAATAGCAGTTACAAAATCAGATATCCGGAGTAAATAAAAGAATACAAGAACTTTTTGTATCAAGTTTACTGCATCGTGACATTTAAGAAAAAGCCCCGATATTCCTTTTGCGAGTCATTTTATAGCCTCTGGAAAGGCGGAGCTTCCAAGAAATGACGTCAGCCTCGTCAGCCAATCCAGTTCGCTTGAAATATTTCCAGAACATTCTAAAACTGTACTTGTAGAAAAAGGCAGGAAAAACAACTTGACTACGGGGCTGTGAATTTAATTCCACGTACTTTCAAATAAGAGAACGTCGCCATTAAAAAGGAAAAGAACATACAGTTAGAATTTTAAGATTATTCTTGACTATGGAATTTTATTATTACATATATATATATACGTATATAATTAACATTAAAGACATATAGTAAGAAATTTAGAACTATGTTTCACAAAGACCGATGGTTTACAAAATATTGAAATTCATAATTAATAAATTTCAACTAGTCGTATAAATGCAACAAAGAATTTAAAAAATGTTAAAACCAATACTTTTTAAACAAGGAAAACCCCATTTAAAAAAATTAATGAAATTTAAAGAAAAATAAACAAAAACAGACGAGGAATTTAATCAACTTCAATGCTACTGCGCCAGGGGGGGGAGGAACATTGAAATCAATTGAAATCTCTCTTCTACAAAAATCCTTATCGAGAATTAGCTGATGAACGATTTCAATGTATTTTAATTATAATAGTTCACCCGAAAATTCTGGCCGTTCCCCAAAGCAAGAAAAAAACAAATTAAATTCTAATTATAATAATTAGAATAACCTTAACTAAAGAGAATTCTATTTTATTAAAAGAATTGAAAACGAACGTAAAAAAAAACAAAATACTTCAGTAAAACATTTTTAATTAAAAATGTTTATTATTAGAAAATATTTATATGTCATCTCCAAGGCTAAATTGTGCATTTTTTGCTTTAAAAATGATTGAATTATGTTGTTCTTATGCTCCGGTTAAGGTTTTTAAGTCTTTACTTAATCTGCATGCAATAGCTGTAGAATTATCAACAATTTAAATGTTGCTTAAATGTGGCTAAGCCTAACGGAACAACCATATTTGTTTACATTTGAAAGTCTTAGTAGACTAGTGAATTAAGTCAGTTTGTACACCACCTTCAGTGTCTTTCTGCAGAAGCAAACTTTTGGTTTTGTGCACCGAAAAATCTGTCTTCTTACCCGCTGTTTGAATGGCTTGTTTTTGCATAGAAACTCCAATTTTAATTGCAAAAAATTTTTAACTGTTTTAACTGTATTTGGTGTTATATGGTTTTCTGTGTTTTATAATTTTTAATGATGTTTTGAGCTTTTGTGTATTTTTGCCTTGCCGCCATGCGACAACTGAATCAGTTGAACGCGAAATATATCACCAATGAAATTCGAGGATGGTGTGGTGTATTTAATTGTGGTAAAGCACACTAGGGCTATCTGCCTAAGGGGGGGGGAGGATGCCTTGTAGTTTCTAAGGAAACTGTCTACACGTTACACATGGGGAAAACCACGAAAACACCCATGCAGCCAGCCTGTTCGCGGGATTCGAACCTCGGACCGAACTACCAGTGTTCAGCGACTTTACCGCTCGGCCGCTGGTGGGCAAAATAAGTTTAAATGTAATGCAGCCACAAATGTGTATAATTTAATAGGCCGTAAAAAGGAAGTCACCTGGTATCCACATCAGATTTTTAATAACATATTTACGTCATGAATGTGTGAACGTGTATTTGTGTTAAAAATGATAAATACCTCAAGTAAGTCCTGCAACCACTTAAAATTTCTATTCACACTTTATCTAGTCTTCGAGCAGGCAGTAAAATGTTGTCGTGTTTAAAAATTATTAAAGGATTTACCTCTAATTTAATGGATTCCTTTCTTCATTGGAAAAAAAAAAATACTTGTTTACTTTTGAAATCATGAGATTATTAGTTCCATGTGATCAAAGCAAATAATGATCACTACATAGTATAAAACAAAGTCGCTTTCTCTATCCCCCCCTATATCCCTATGTATGCTTAAATCTCTAAAACTACGCAACGGATTTTGATGCGGTTTTTTTTTAATAGATAGAGTGATTGAAGAGGAAGGTTTATATGTATAATAGCATCCATTAAATAGTGGAGAAATAGTGTTATTTTTGAGGTTACTAATGTGATGTCGTAAATAATTACATTTTTTCCGCTTGCATTACAAACGCAGGCTGAACCCTACGAGATTTATCAAAATAATGTACTAAGTATTGTACACATTGGAAAGGTCTACAGATTTAAAAATTGCGGGACGTAGAGTTTGCGGCGGTACCATAGAGGTAGGAAAGGGAGGAGGGGCCATTCCGCGCTAGAAGTGAAGCACTGCTTTTAAGGTTGGGTCACCAGACGGGGTGTTCTTTGTTTACATTCAGAAGCTCGCTTGACAAGATTCTGATAGTATTTCGACACACGACAGTTCCATAGAAATCGAAAAAGGGACACTCTCGCATGAAAGAAACATTCATAGTGTGATGGATAATAGCAATTTGTATAGTTTACTGACATTTACGCAAAAATCACATCTTGGTTATTTTTTGGTAACTAACAACCGCGATTTTGATTACGAATTTGTTTTATAAAATTCTAAGCTATTGCACAACAAAAATATAGATTTTAAGAAAATTGGTAAAAGAGATCTGCCAAAATTTATTTTCTAGAAGATTTGAAAAGTTTGAAACTTGATGGCTAAATGTAAATATAAAATTATGTATGATAAAATATTTGTAATTAGGCACATAGGTCAGATTAAGTTTTTATTAAATAGAGTAACGCATGCAAGGGCTATCTGCCTAAAGAGAGAGATGCCATCGTGGAGGATTTTGAAGAAAAACTGACCTTTGAGTGGGTATTAAAAAATAATACTTATAATTTTCCTTCAAATTATACATATATTTTTTTTTATGTAAAACTTTCAGGTGTATGCTAATTAGTGTAAATTACTTTACACGAAAATATAGTGAATGCACAGAAATTAAAGATTTGCACATGCCGGAAATGATAAATAGGAAATATGTATGGGTATTTATGCATGTGCTTGCAAAAGCATGTATCTCCTTTGACAAAATACTTAAATATCATTAAATTATTTATAAAGTATTTGAAATGAAGAATTTATTCACTTAAACAACTGTGAAGCAATCTAATGATTAAATGTATCTAATTTATAATGATTATAAATGTTATCTAATATATATAAACTTAATATTGAATTGTAAACATAAATTGAAATCCTGTTGACAAATACGTTATAAAACTATTAA